CTCAGTAAGCCCTCAACTTTATCTCCGTTGATGCTGCGACGTTTTTTTTTCTTTTTTGGGTTATTTAATATCGAATTCCTAATCGGACGTAATCGAACTCACTACGCACGGTCGACCAGAATACTCTTGCCTACACTGCGCCACACCGAGGCTTCTTACCAAAACAACGTCTTGAAACCATTTTTCACATTATTTTCGCACAAAATACTATAGAAATTTCCAGCATTTTGAATAACTTCATCGGTCTATTCATGTTTCAAGTTACACGGCGTTACTCTTGTCTCGCTAAAAATTTCATAATTTTTTAAGCTCTCGACCACGAAATGATAAAACGCCTTTTCTATCAGTTCCTTTTGAAAAAGCATTTTGTCTTTAGAAAAAGCATTTTGTCTTTTAATATCTTCAAAATTTAGAGCTTCAACTTGAATACAGTGCAACCTCTCGAAAATCTCACATGGCGAACAAATCGGTTTTCGAACAGAAAATTTGAGATAAAAATGCCTCGATTATTAAACAAATTTTCGGTTATCGAATAACATTACCGAACCGAATTAACCCGAACGGAATCATTTCTGAGTCGGCCGCCATGTTGTATACATTCGTGTGTTGTGCCGCGTTTTTCTTTTCCAATTTTATTGTCGTGTTACTTTTTTCTCTACATTGATTCCTATTGGAAAAAAATAATTTCGGTTTACGAACATTTAGTATTACAAACGGCCTTCAGGAACGAATTAAATTCGTGAACCGAGGTTTCACTGTATGTCTTTCAGACAGTTCGTATTTTGTAATTTATAATTTTTTCTGTATTTTGACATATATTCGTAAGGGGAAAAGGCTCTTAACGAACATCTACCTTTTGTCGCCACATGGAATAATACTGCCATATTTGGGGTTCCTACTACTTATCTAGAAATTCTTGACAAAATTCAAAGATGGTTATGCAATGTAATCGATCCTCACCTGGCATCTCTCGCCTTCAGCCACATTCTCACCGATTTTGGTGCCTTCTTTTTGTCTTTCCTCTGCTGAACTCTACTCCTTATTGCCTCACCCGCATGAAAGCAAGCCTTCTACTAGATTGGCAGTTAGGTCCCACTGTTTTACTAATGCAACCGTCAGTTCTATTCTAATAGTTTCGGTTCTCGCACTTTTCTTTTATTGTCCTTTTCCCCCGTGTCCTGGGTAAGACGATAAACTACATCCGACAGCAAGGCCTCTGATCAAGTGTTCTGGTGGGGCATGTAACTATCTCTTAATTGCTGGTGTTCCAACGTCCACCGTGATCCGGGGTGGTGGCATCTGCAAGTGTCCCACCTATGGGCAAATAGTTCAAAACCAAAATAGGATTAAATCATTATGAAAGTGTAAAAATAGTTTTTAGTACCAGCAATAAATTATTTTTTTAAGAAGAATATCATCCGAAATACATTATTACCAGCAATACATTTTCGAAGGAAAATTATTACCAACAATACATTTTTAAAGGAGAAATATTAACAGCAATTCTTTTTTGAAGAAAAAAGTATTACAAAAAATACATTTTTGGAAAAATATTATCAGCAATAAAAATCTTGTCGGCATTCCGTGAGTGGAATCCTGCACAAATAAATAAACAACGCCAGTAATTGAGATAGAAAAATAAGTGTATTAAACTTAAGAATATAAACTTGAAGTGAAGATTAGTAGTCTAGGAATGCGAGTTAGTAGAAAGTATATGTACAAGTCTCTGTAAGTAAACCCGTAATCATCTCTCTCTCAGGACTCTTGTATAACTCTCAGAGAACATCCTGTGTCTGTCTCCGTATATCTCAACCTGTCTCAACGTATCTTCACGTATCTCAACGTATCTCAGTATTTAATATCCCACCCACGAGTTTAAAGTGGGTTTCTCCGAGCCCGAAGGCTCGGCCAAAAATATACCCTTTGAACCCGCCGAGACGGGTTCAGGGCTCACTCATTACCTCCCGGACGAAACTTTGCCTTCGACAAAGCTTCGTCCGGGTTCCTCTGCCAAAGCAGAGAGTTTGACAGACGTCGAGACTGTATCTCGACGTAGCTCAACAGCAGGTATTCTCTCTGTCAGTATAAGTATACTTTGGACGAGTCCATCTTATGTAAAAAGGGGAGAGCCCCACAACAATAACCCATTGATGTTGACATACCCTAAAAGAAACCAAACCAAACCAAACCAGACCTTTTCCTCACTTCTGATCATCATCTTTCGTTCTCTGTAACTACCTGCGTCTTAGTGGCATTGTCACCTTGATTGGGGTGAGACGATTAATAAGACGGGACGCAAGGCCGTCATGAAAAGAGTGATGACCAGCTGATGAACTCCAGTCTTTGTTGTTAGAATGGTGGAAAATATGACATAGAAATAAGAAATGGCGAAAAATGCCTTTGCGAATCTAGACACGATAATATGATATAGGATAATATCCTTGGAAATGATGAAAAGAATACTGAACAGCTATGTACTATCTGATCACTTATATGTAACTTAATGCTGGGAAATTGCTTCACAGGTAAAGAAGTAATAGATATGTTGTTTTCCCGATCATCATTGAGAAAATCATGGACATGAGTCTTGTATATGGTGAGCAAAAAAAAAAAAATATAATAAAGAAAGCAGCCTTGGAGGATATAACATTCACATGACATACTGAAAGCTAAAGATTGTTAATGCAAAACAACAAATCAATGTTTTGTAGATATCAATAATATACAGTGTATCACAAAAGTGAGTACACTCCTCACATTTCTTCAAATATTTAAGTATATCTCTTCATGGGACAACACTGACAAAATGACACTTTGACACAATGAAAAGTAGCCTGTCTGCAGCATATATAACAGAGTTAATTTATTTTCCCCTCAAAATAACTCAAAATGTAGCCATTAAAAGCTAAATCCCTGGCAACAAAAGTGAGTACACCCCTAAGAAACTACACTCCTAAAAAGTGAGTACACCCCTAAGAAACTACACCCCTAAATGTCTAAATTGAGTACTGCTTTTCATTTTCCCTCCAAAATGCTGCAGACAGACGACTTTTCATTGTGTCAAAAGGTAATTTTTTCAGTGCTGTTCCATGAAGAGATATACTTAAATATTTGAAGAAATGTGAGGGGTGTACTCACTTTTGTGATACACTGTATGTGTCATATTTAACTATTTAATCCATATGAAAAAAGAATTTGTGCATAAGTAAATGCAACGAACCCGACTAGAATTCGAACACATCTCTCCGATTTTCCACTCCGAGGTTCTATCCATTTCACCAACCTCACACTCTGGAAATAAGCAGTGGAAAGCAGCTTATGCGATACGATTTGAGTGCAAGACTGGCACAATTAGCAGAGATAGCGATGCTAAAGTGTCAGTTACTTTAAACAACAAGAGAAGGAAGTTGTGAAGACCCCACGATCGCTTGCGCACAACGTTGATAAAGACGTATAATGACATTACGCCCATTGGTCACTGGAAAATGAACGAACAAATCTCTTAGTGACTGCTCTATGAGATGTCTCGCGTAACTTGTATGGGCCCTTTATATATCAGATTCTGTGAGAACCCTACCATCTGCAAGAACTGAAAATGGGATTCATCTAAATTCTACGCCAACTCAATTCCTGCATAGACACAGGTGACAAAAGATACGCCATTGTTTTGCATCCTTTGCTTAATGTTATTGCTATATGAAAAAAACAAAAAAACACTCACTCACTGATCACTAAATGTCTATGAATGGGTCGGTTATAATAAATTTAACATTGCAGATAAGGTAAGTGAACATAGAATACGCTGTGCTAGAGGTAGTTTTGTTCAACAACGCAAATTGCTACACAACCAAAACATTAACCTAAAAAGTCAAATCTCTTTAAATAGCTTTGTCAGATCGTGACATTCAGATAGATGCTTTGATTGGCACTAAACCCGTTTAGGTATACCTGTAAGCTGTATACAATTACTTTCTATAAGTACTTAAAAATGGCTTTCAGAAATTGAAGCTGTGGATCTTGGCGAAGACGAATCTTTTTCGAACCTTGTGGACTGGCGCTGCGGAATCACAGAGAACTCCCCCAATTGACAGAAATTACATCCTCTGGGGATTTTTCACAGCAGCAACTACCAAGATGTATCGCAACTCGAAGAGAAAAAACAATGATAATCAAGTTCAGATGTTCGAGATTATTTCAAATAAAAGACTATGCAGAAAACCCCACTGGAAAGAGCGATAACAGCTACGGGGATTGAGAAACCTAATTTTCTGAAAAAATTGTTTTAAGAGAAAGATTTTATAAATTTCCCCCGACGGTATACTGGTTGCTCAGTCAATAAATGCCAAATGATTCCAAATGTAAGGAAAGGAGTAAGATTACCATTGCTATAACCATTAACTGGCAATCATATCTCTTATTCAATACAAGAAAAACACGGTCGGGATACCAAATGAAAATAGTAACTGTTCTATTTTCTATCTGATCCCTTCAAACGTGACCACCTATTGGCAACGTATTGGCCTGTCTAGAGGCGGTGATTGCTGATAATCAAACAATCATTGTAACACAGTGAACAGAAAATTCCATTCAGTCTTGGCAGGCAACATTTTATCTTTTGTCGATAGCGTATAAATTGTATCTATTGACTAACACAAAACCCTCATTCATTTTATTGAGAAAAATACACATCTTGGGCTGACAACCAGAATTGGTTTTATTCAAACTGTTTGAAAACAGCTTGAATAGGACATCGAGAGTTCATGCTGGGAACAGTCATTTGGCTAATTGACGTATTTTAGAATAATTTTAAACAACTCCGTTCAATAATTTACGAACATAAACCCTTTGAATGGACATAAAGGAAGCGAAAACTATTTATTCCCAGAATTGCCATCCTTCTCCCCATTATCGACATGGCAGTCTGAGAAGACCATTTATTTATTTATTTGAGTTAGACTCTCATGCAGTGTCCCATATGCCTGCAAAGCCAAATATTTAAGATGCAGACACGGATACTGATGTTTCACGTACCAGCTTGTCCTAATAGTGGTGATGAATCCGTGGCACTCTTTCACTGTTCGTATTTAATCTTTCTTCTTCTTGTCGCTCTGTCAGTAGAACAGGTGATTTTATTAATCAAAACCCCTTTGCCTTTTAAAATGGTGCAGAGCGAAGTTTTGGTATTATATAATATGAGGCCTTATTTACATTATTCAGGCTATTGACCTCATCTTTGTCGCCATATTTATTACAACGTTTCGGCCGTTGTACGCTCCGGCCTTCTTCAGGTGGTTGGAATGTCGACCTGAACCCTTTATTTCGCTCACTGGGGTAGACTTTTCTAGTTCCACGTGACATGTTTAATGGATGTCAGTTATGTCTTATTAATTCCCCTCTCTAAGTTCTCCACTGCTTTAGCCGGGTATTGAACTCGCACTCTTTGGGTCCTGTCACTGGATCTAACTAACGCCTTTATCCACTGTGCCATGTGCCCTTGTAATAAATATGATGACAACGATGAGGACAATTGTCCGAATAATGCAAATAATATACATAATACCTCATGTCAGAAATATAGACAGATACTGATATGAGGCCTTGTTTATAAATGTACTTAAATCGAAGTTGTGGGGACCTGGTTTTTCATCTTCTGTGTAGTGAATGTTCTTATGACTTTATCTGTTGTCTAACCTTAAGGAATGGTCCAAGAAGCGGAATCATCGCTGTCTCAGAAAAGCCAACATGCTAGAACTGTGATGTGTGTGATTTTGTCTTTTTCGGTGGTGTTCAGTCTAAGATAGGGCAAGTGAAATCTATTAAACGATCACTTTTGATATCCGTAGTAGGTTCAGACCTAACTACCATACAATGTTCTGTAAGAGAGAAGAAGCCTGCCAACTGCAAGTTGTTCGTAATTGAAATATAAACGCCCGAGGAGTCTCAGTCAGTTAAAAGAGTCTTACACTACAAGAAGAGTTGTAACTGACCGATGGCATACAAGTCGATATCCAATCAGTATCAACTGGATTGTCGCGGAGATAGGGTATGATGATGTAAAACTCGAAACCCCTAATGGTCTTCGGCTAAAAAAACATTTCAAATGTATTTCATGAAAGAGCGTGTATGACACAGAGGGATATAGTTTTGTGTGACGTGAGAGTGTGCTCGTGTTGCAAACTCGATTTGTGAGTTTTCCAAAGCGTACCCTATCAATTAACCGACTTATTCTTGCGAAAAAAAAGTAAGAACGAAGCTTTTAAACTCTTTAAATTGGGATAGCCAAGGAAGCATTCCAAAAGTTAAGGAGACCACGAAGAACTAGAAACGCTAGAAACAAGGAAACGACTATGTGATATCTGTCCTCTTTTATGGCATTGAGTGATGAACGATCTCTTCAGAGATTAAGAAGAGACTTAAAGCAACAGAAATATGGTTCTAAAGAATGATGCTGAGGATACTGTGAACCGTATATGTGAGTAACAACGAAGTTTTGGAGAAAATGGAAACAAAAAGGAAACTAATATTTAACACCCAGAAGAGGCAGTTTAGATTTCTGCGGAATATGATGAGAAAGGAGGGCTTGGAAAATTTGATACTCACGAGACGGATAGAGGGTAACTGGGACGGAGGAAAAGAACTCATATCATGTTTAGTGAGCTTGAGTAAATGGATGGTGGAACAGGGCTCAGGTAAAATAAGAGAAATACAATGTTTATTAAGAGCTATAAAGGATAGAAAGTTGCGGAGAGCCGTGATCGCCTACATCCAGTGATATAGATAGATCTGCCTGGTGTCTGTTCCCCAAAGCAGCGATTCTTAGGAAGAAGCTGATTGATTGGAACTTCCTCCTTACTAATGAAATACAAAAGGAATGAGGATGTTTTATTTTTGTGAGCGTGGCGTGGAGGCTTCCAGTTGCAAAGGTCATGACCTCTGGAACAGAGGAATGTAGGACACATGTCATTGAAATAGCGTATAGCGATAGCGTAGCGAGAGACTCACTACGGTTTGGTTGTGGGGGAAAGTGTTTTAAGGTGGAATATAATTCATCACCCACAAGGCCGCGTAAACACTTTTGAAGTCTATCAAGACAGGCAAGTGAGGACTGGACAACTTCAGCGATGATATGGCAGCAATAAAAAAATTGTTCAGATCTAAGCATAACAGGTAATCAGATATTTACTGGAGTGGTACAATGAATATTTTTTGCATCTGACCCTTCATATATGTTTCACTTGTGGTCTGGGGTGGGCTTCCGTCTCAATAGATGTTCAACAGTGATCATAGTTTATTTGAAGTATTTCCGCAAATAGCAGTGCATTTTCCGCCGTCTATGTGTTGACATAAACTCAAACAGGTCTAGAATATAAGTGCATGAGACTCGCCTACTGTGTAATGGATTAGTGCTGTAATACAATTGAAACGCTTGAAAGAGTTAGTAACAAAATACAATAAAATAAAGTAACGTTATAGTTACATGTATACATACTTGACGCATTCTATACAAAGCAATATCTAGCTTAGAAGGAGATGTCGGGTGGGAAAAGAAAACACAAAACGGAATGCAATTAAATGGTAAACCACCAGAGGAAGAATCGGAAATGGAATTATGGGAAAAAAAGTAAAAAAAAAAAATTGAGACAGAAAACAAGTAACAAGTAAAATTATAAGAATCTGTTTCTTTCTCTTATTTATTTATATTTTCCTTTTTTGACAGATACGTAGATTTTACCCACAATTCAAGTAATGTTTCCGACGCCATTTTCTGCTTTCGTTTAATCTAATAATGTCGCAGATGTTTCACAACGGGTAAAATAATAACAATAAGAAGGAAAACTGCAAAAATTAAGAGGAAAAAGAAGCAACTAAACAAGTAAAAGAAAGATGTGTTTAGAATACGTAAAGACAAAGAGAAACGAAATGGACAGAAAAAAAGAAATTGACGTTTATTGATATTAATGTTCAACCATTAAAAGGTGGATGTATAGATTTTCCAGGCTTGTTTTGTTCGTGTTTTCAATATCTTTTTTTTTTTTACTGTCTCTAAAGCGCGACGATTACGACATACGTAGGAACAATAGGATTGAAAAAATACCACACAATATGTCTGGTACAAGGCTCTTCAAATTTATAGGTTGATTGCAATATAGCTAAGTACAAACGTATAACATATTTATAGCCGAATCTATCTGCCTGTCTGTCTGTATGTCTGTCTATCCATCTATCTATTTCATTTTGTTCATATCTATCTCAGTCTGTTCATATCTATCTATCTATCTATCTATCTATCTATCTATCTATCTATCTATCTCTCTCTATATATATATACATATATATATATTTCAGATTGTTCATATCTATCTATCTATCTATCTATCTATCTATCTATCTATCTATTTCAGTTTGTTCCTATCTATCTATCTATCTATCTATCTATCTATCTATCTATCGACATGGGTCTGTTCATTATCTATCTATCTATCTATATATATATATATATATATATATATATATATATATATATATATATATGTTTCAGTTTCTTCATATCTATCTATCTATCTATCTATCTATCTATCTATCTATCTATTTCAGTTTGTTCATACCTATCTCACTCTGTTCATATCTATCTATCTATCTATCTATCTATCTATCTACATGGGTCTGTTCATTATCTATCTATCTATCTATCTATCTATCTATCTATCTATCTATCTAATAAATATAATACACCTTTTTGTCACCCGCTCTCATGATTAGACATATATTGCTACAACTGGATATTCCACCTATACAGTGAGGCGATCATGCGATAATTCGAAGTCCTGGTGGAGCAATGGATAGCGGCTCGGATTGAGGAATTGTTGAGCCGAGTTCAAATTCCAGTCGTATCCATTACATTCACTTATGTGCTAATACCCTTGGGAAAGGCATGGACCCTCCTCTTCTTCTCTACCCGAGCTATGGTTTTTAAAAACCTTGAGTGGAAATCGGTTTAGGAGAAAGTAACACTGAATTACAAACTGTATGTATCCCATAAGATACAGCTAAATAATCCATGGTTCATTACTGGTTGCCACAGTCTTAACAGCATGAAATATGCAGATGACATAGTGTTGATAACAGATACAACAAGGAAATTAAAAGACATCTTACAGAAGGCAGTGAATAAAAACGAGATAAAAAGGAATCAATTTCAACTGCAAGAAGTTGAAATGCACGGCGGTTATCAAAAGAAATAGCTCAACATGCAAATTACAATTTGGTGATTCCAAAATCAAACAAGAACAAAAATTGAAATATATGTTTTAATAGAGGAGGGAAATTGCGACACCGAAATCCGAAGCTGCATTGCAAAGGCTAAGCGAAGTATTAAAAAAAATCGCTAGGAACAAAGAAAACGCTATTGAAATGTTACGTAATATCAATTCTCTTGCATGGCAATGAATCACGGATATAGAGGTAGGGGGCTTGCCGTAGCAGAAATGCAGTTCTATAGGAGAATGCGAAAGATAACAGAACTTGTGAGCATCGACTAAGTTTTATAGAAAATGGAAACAAAAATGAAACGTATACTTAAAATCAGAAACACACAGTTGAAATTACTAGCGCCCATAATGAGGATAGAAGGTTTGGAAAATCTGATAGGCACAAAAGAGATTTAAGGCAAGGGGGCTAGAGGAAAGCAACCCATAACTTAGTGATCTTAAGTAAAACAAGGTTTAGGAGAAATAACAAAAAGACATAATTTATTAATTGCTACAAAAGCACAGGACATTTTAGGGAGCTATAAGTCCCTACATTCTTAAAGGACACGGCATATTTAAAAAGAAATTTTTAGAAAATTAAATACTAATTTTGGTTATATTTTAGACACTTTTTAAAACTGGTAGACTGAGGCAAAACTTCGGTGTTACTTATCAGACTTATGTCGTCAATGAAATATTTTATAGTTTTCAGGAGAACCTTCAACTCGTTGTATCATTGGCAAAGAGAGATCATCTCTGTAGAGTAGGTGATTAAATACTTTCTTGTTTACTTTGTATCTATAGATATTATTGTTTAGTTCATGCGAAAGTTGGATTAAGGACATGCAAAAAAGAAGGTGGGGACAGTCTGAAAGATTCCTCATCGGATATTCAGACGGTTGGAAATGGCAGTAACTTTAGTATAATTTAGGTATAATGTGGTTTTCCACATTCCCATAGTATGTTCAAGGACGTTTAGTATCACTGTGGAGACTTGGTACATTTCTAAAGCCTTAAGGATCCAAAAATGTGGCACACTATCAAAGGTTTTAGGGTATTCTATACATGCTGTGCTGAGATATCTACATTATTATTATTGTTTTTCTTTTCTTTGCTTTCTGGAGTTTATACATTTCTTTCCGGGTCCTGCCCAGGGACCTAAGGTTAGAAATGGCATCATGACACTCTCCACTGACAATATATATATATATATATATATATATATATATATATATATATATATATATATATATATATATATATATATATATATATATATATATATTACATAAAAAGCCCTTCGTAAAGTGTGGGCTGTACTTATCAGAACAATTATTTGTATCTCCTTGAGGCATGGACTTCCAGGAATCTCTTCAATTAGTCTACTGCAAACTTTTTCAACCAGTCCTAGGGCTCCAACTACAACAGGGATTGTTGATGTTCCCATATGCCACATTTTCGAGATTTCTATTTCAAGGTCCTTGTTTTTTGATAGCTTTTTGAATATATTCAAAGACACATTGCAGTCAGCAAAGACTGCCATATCAATAAGGAGGCACTTATTTTGTTTGTGGTCTTTAATAACAATTATTATTATTATCATTTAGATTTAAATCCAATGTCAATCGTTATCTTTTGTCCTTATCCACTTTTTTGTTGTTTTTGTTACTTAATAATGTTTTCCTTTTTTTATTCTTTCACATTTAGTAACGTTTATTGCCTTACTCGTTGTGAAAGAAAAAAGTTTTATCCTATTTCTTAATACATGGTGTTCCAAAAGTCTTGAACACATTTTGACATTGGATATCTCGAAAACTATTACGGATATAAAAACGCGCCTGACGTATTCTGAAAGAATTTAGTCTCAAGTTTTACATGGAATATTCAAAGATGTTCAATGTGAATACCGCTTTATTGTTCTTGTTACTTAATAATGTTTTTTTTTTATCGTAACTCAAAATATTCCTGGTTTCGATTCCGCCACTTCATACTAGCAGTTTAGCTGAAGTTAAAATGCAATTATTAAATACTGATTATTGCTTTATTGGCATAGACATTATGTTATCAGGGTTTGATCAATGAAGCATCTGTACGATTAGAGTCGTTTCACCAAAAACCGATAGTCTGTTGACAGGAATTAATATAATCATTATTGACATCATACACCCATTTTAAGTATAAAGTGAATGAATAGTCGTTGTACGAGAGAAAACTATTTAACTTGTATTGTTAAGTGTTTTTCCTGTATAAATTATATGAAAATAAAGTAAATGATAATCATTGCCAATGAAATTATACAATCATTACTGACAGAATAGTGCTATTATATAAAAAAATGTTTCCTCGAATAAATGTCTGGCCTGTTAAGGGAGGGTCGTATTCGAAGTGAGGACGATTATTGAAAAATCATTCAAATGTAAAGCAATTTGGACGCTTATCTTTTATAACTTGCAATGGTTCTGTTTTTCTTTCAAAAATTACAGAATCAAGATATTGAATTTTTTAAACCAGTGTGGAAAGACTGTTTTCCCTTAAAACGTATGAACCTTTTAATATATAGTGATTTTCCAAGCGCAGCTTAGATGTGACACAAGGCCGAAAGTAGGCGGCATCCAGTGAGTATCGAACTCACTACTCAGTCGTAATTGTTCTACAGACGCAAGCTTGCTAACTATTATACCGCCTCGAGGCGCCCAGAATATATATTCAATATATATTACGCTTCCGAAACACGCCGATTACACATATTAGCAAACGTGACAACAGAACAATTGATTGTCGCCCTAGACTGATGAGGATATTATCCTACTGAAAAGAGATACCATCACATCAAGTTATAAAGCCCTAAGAATGGGTAAAAATCAAAGGGAAAACAGTTGAAATACTGCAGGAACAGAGAGAATTTGGGATTGACATCAATACGAATAGAAGAATTTGAAATGAAAATGTTGCCAGTTACTGTCTAATAGCAGTTTATATTATAACCTTTTTCTTTAATTTGAAATCTTCAGACCAAAATGAAACCGTGTAAATTTGTCGTGTCCCTTCAAGTTTATATAAGAAAATCATATACACATTTTTAAAATCAATTCACCCCAAACAAGGCGATACAACCTCTAACACAGAAGTTAATGAAAGTGAATCAAAAAAAAAAAAAAAAAAAAAACGTTGAGGAGTCGGAGGAGATTAAAAGAACAGGATTCATTAATGAAAGAAGATGGTTGACCTGACATTTATATTTAAAAACACAACGTATTAAGGATACGGTGGAGTAATGGATAGCGACTCGGTTTGAGAAATCGGAGAGCTGAGTTCGAATTCATTACATTCACTTACATGCTAATACCCTTGGGAAAGTAATGAATACTTTTATTCCCCCCTCGGCTATGGGTAAATAGCAGAATAGACCGGTTTCTATAGACTTGGGTGGCAACTAGTCTATTTCAGAAAAAATGGCAACCTACTGCAGGAAAAAAAATCTGCATCGTCAATCATGTATCGAAAGATACATGATCACCTAAGCCTGTATCACGCATGGCACATAACAGACTGGCTGACTTCTTACTGTGGCAGTGAATCCGAAATTGATTCAAGACAATTTTTAGACCTAAGCAGTGGGAGCAATGATTGATCTGAAGCAAATGACGAGATATTTCATTATTAATTTTTTCGTCTGCTGACTTCTTAGTTTGGAGCGATACATTACAGACACTTCTATTGATTTTGTCGAGAATCCAAAAGAGGCTTTCGAGTGAATTGTATATTTCAGATGTAGTACAGACTTAAGGATGTCATGGTCCTTAGATGACAACAAGGTACCGTCCATTCTTCTGATTGTTACGTAAAAGTACGAGATCTGTTCACTTTGATTTGGTTGGATCAGCTGGTCTGACTAATCATGTCCGTAACTTGTGAGCGTTTTATCCCATTCTCTCATGACAATTTGCACCCAGTACTAATATTGAATGTACTCCAATAACTATAGGTTGATCCAGTATAATACTGTATCGCGTCATTGGGTCCAAGTTATCCAGAATTAGTTTGTCATTTTCTGAAAATGTCCAACGAATGGAGTAGCTAAAACATTTGCCCAACACAAGCCCAGTAAAAGGTTGGATCACATTTAAAACCCTACACATGCAAGAGCTGCGTACAACAATTGAGTTTTTGCTCGGCATCTATACAGATGTTTTCTGACAACTCATGGTATCCATTCCACGTCGATTTGCAACAATAGCCGGTTGGGTCTAAGAAGGCCTCTCAACGATACTAACTACATTTTGTCATTGCTGTCTCTGATCACGATGTCTGGGTAATTAGCTTTCATTGTTCTGTCTGTGCTAATTCTAAAGTCCCACAAAATGTCATATTACTGTAATCGGGACATGTTTCTCTTCATACAGGCAAGGGCTTCTGGGAAATCAGTCAACCCAGAAACAATGCAGTTCTCTCAAAATATTCTACTTCAATGTGTCAGTGTCTCTTTTGAGCATTGGCGATCATGGATT